GTACAATATAACCAAATAATGTTTTGACAATAATTTTCTGAATTTTTGATCGATTTACAAGTTTTATATAATCACATGAGTATATAGTAGTCGAAGCAAAATATATAAATAATATGCTATAAATCTGGAAGTGGATCTTCTGCCCTTAAACCTCGTCGAGCACGTGCTAAATCTATGAAAATATTTGATTATTAATAACGATAATAACTATATTTTTACATATTAACCGTAAATTATGAAAGAATGTATCATGCACAAAGTACACAATACTATGCCGGATGCCTTTTGTAACTGTAAAATTACCATGGAGCAATAGACGGGATGCAAATGCCACTACTTGTCCTGGCCGAAGATATACAACTACTTGAAGTTAAGGAAAACATAATTCTCCTCCTTTGAAATCCCCCAGTGCGATTAAAACACACAGACTATTTGGTTCATCATGATCATCCCAATGATAGTTACTAATGATATTAAAGTTGATGGCTATCATTGAGAAAACTCCAAATGCTCTTGGAGCGAATGGACCCCATGATAATTTACTCAATTTTGTATATAAATCCACATAATATTTTTGAAGAAACCGATTGATACTTTCTGATAATTTCCTAAGGCCCCGAAGTAATTTACTGACATATTCATGATGATTAATATTATGTGTACTCGCAGTGTTAGAGCTTGTGAAGAGAAGTAAATTGTTTCTTGTATAAGCTCCAAAATGCTCAATAAAATTGGTCCAAAATTCTTTACTTCGGTGTGAAGGATTTTCTAATAAATGGAAATAGTACCAATTTACAATATTAGATGCGGTTGTAACAGCATCTGGATCATCGAGTTGCTCCAAGTGAATTAATGTTCGGTGACCCAAGTCTGTAATGCACTTAGGTTCAAAAATATGTTCAAGTTGAACTAGCTTATCTAGCGATTTGTTATTATTTCGTGCTGATACGATAAGCTGTGTTTTTTCTTTTCGACTTTTACGTATAGTAGCCGTATCAAAGAAATTTTGCAACTCAACATAAGCATGCTGGAGTTTTTTCCATAATAGTCTGAGGTGTTCTCACATATGCTTCCTTCTTAGCGGTCCTTTTGATCTCTTTAAACCTAACCACCGCCCGAAAGCAATCCACAATCGTTTGTTATTAGTATCAACGTCCAATGGTTCTTTAACATCATTCTTTTCCTTAATAATATCACTATAAACTAGAGATAAAAAATCTGGAGGAATTTTGGGTAAGTCAATAGAATTATTGCTAGTAGATGCCTCTCTCAGTAACGTTTCAATAAGTAAGTCTTTAGCCGATATATTATGTTGGGTCCTAATTTTTTTAGAAGATATTCTATCAGAAGGACAGAGAGGAACGCTTCTCTATTCCCTTTCCAAGTAATAAATATTGTCAATAGCAGACAATTTTTGGGTGGCAGATTGGATTCTATGCTAGTAAAATAAAATAATGGACATGAGCATTTTTTTTTTCGAAAGATTGCAAATTTTTGTAGAACGAATGAGTCCCCTTCACCATACCTGAGATGGATTAAAGATAATATCATCGATTACTGGAAGAATATCATCATTCGGGTTACGAAGCATCTCGGTTTGTTTCTGCTCGCACCTAAGTTTTTTATTTTTACGTGTACAGGCCTGTCTCGACAATTTGGTTTTAGTAGATTCATCCTGTAATACAATCACCTCTTCCTTTCGTTTATTATTTAATGTTTGCATTGCAATTGCTGTCTTTGGTAAAAAAAAAAAAAGAGGTAAATATTTGTATTGCACGAAGTATAAGATTAGTGGGTTGAAAAACAAATAAGTTTGATTATATATTGAAAGAAAGCCCTCTTTATTGGAGAATTTATACAACAAATTATAGTATGTTATATTCAGTATTGAATTTAAGTCAATCGCGTGTCGCTACAATAATTTAACACTTTATAAAACAATCGCACGTCGCTTTATTTGGCGTCATAATAATTTAACACGATAATTTCTACGCTAACAATTACATATTTACTATATTCGGCACCACAATTATTAAACACGCCAACAATCGCACATTTTCCATATTTGGGAT